TGGTTGATGGCCTGATCAGTCAGCCTGTTGGTGTTAGCAGCTAAGCAATTAAGTTAAGCTATGGGTTCAGTAGATAAGGCAGCTCCAGAGGTTTCGTTCCAGCAGATGTGGAGTTAATATTACTGGGGGATTACCATCTCTTGAGTGATTGTGAGGAAGAAATGTTTTGGTGGTGAGTCCAGATGAATATCTTAGCGAGTTAAGTGGCTATCTTAGTGAGCAAGATAACTAATCTAGTAAAATCGATATCTTAGGAAGATAATTATAGTGAATAGAGATGGATACCCTTTAAATGAGGTTCATTATATTATTATTATTATTATATTCACAAGGAAGTGCCAGCTTCGCAGAGGTCCTACAGCGCCTGGGGTAATGGTAGATAACCAATATTGATCTAAGGAAGGAGAGAGTAACTGCAATTCCACGGACCAGGAATCCTTCACCGGCATCAAGGCACCCCTTCCCTCCTTGAAAGTGAACAAGTTAAAGGTGAACAAGGCACCCCCTTTCCCCTTGAACTGGAAAACCCCTGAAGCGGGCCTGCACAGCCATGGGTATGATCACTGCAGGCAGAAGCAATCACTGTGCTCACTCTGGTCCTTGTTTCACTGCTGCAACGTCACATTGCAGCGACGGTGATTGTCTCCCACGGAGCACACATTCGTGTTGCAGAAATGTATAGATTGCAAGAAAGCCACAAAATAGAAGGTGTGGAGGGGAAAATAAATATGCAAGCAATGAATAAATAACTGGCAGCAGGTGTTTACTTAGATGATACAGGAAGACACTTGTGTTCCATCAGCGAGGTACCCTCACGCACCCTATCATGTATTAAGCCAGAAAATATTTTTTTCAGATATTGCGAAACATCTGCCTATACTTGTGCATAAAGCAATTTTTTTTTAATAACGCAGCTATTTAATTTGTGAAATATTTTTATCTTCTGGTAAGTGTGTAAAATTTCTTAATTGTTATTTTTTTAAGGATAAACATTCGCCGAGAATGAAATTAAAAATAAATACTAGGAATTATAATGGAGTATGTGGAGAAAAAAGAGGCTAAAGCAGTGATGGAAGATTATAAAAGAACAAACGCTGGAGGACATACCATGGATATTTTATTAACTGCTTCAAACACTTTGTGTACACCAATCAAAATGTTATTTCTGGCACAGGTGGGTGAGGGCGAGGGTGGTCCAACTGGCTCTGCCCTCACCAGTACCACTCACCACTGATGGATACCAACCTGCCAGTATAATCTTGCAGCTGACGAGTGAAATTTGCCACAGTAACTCAAACAGGTAATAATAGATGAGAAAGAGACCAAGAGGAAGATGTAAGGAGTAATGTTCAGGTTAATGGCGCGGCTTAGCTAGGAGTTAGTGGCGCTGGTGTTGGTGTTTGTGTGTTTATTGAGGTACTGGGTAGCTCAGAATTAGTGGTGCTGGTATTTATGTTTTATTTATTATTATTATTATTATTATTATTATTATTATTATTATTATTATTATTATTATTATTATTATTATTATTATTATTATTATTATTATTATTATTATTATTTATTATTATTATTATTATTATCATCATCATTATTATTATTAACCCGCACGAGATCATACGGAGCTGAGGAATGGAAGATGATTTGCTTGTGAGAAGAGGAGGTGAACCGCCCTTCCTTAGATCAAAAGCTCTTCACGATCATCAATAAAGTCACAAATCACTGTTACGAAATGGATTCAGATTTTGATTGGATTTTTACCGCCGAAGCGGCTAGTTTATTGCGCACCCTAAATCCGTCTTATGGACGGATGTAGGATAGATACATAAAAAGGCCTAGTTCCTAGGCCTTTTGTGTATCCACAGGAGTACATCTGGATTTATATCTACAGTTGTCTTATCTGTTGTAAACAAACTTAGGATATTTGCTTAATATATACCTTATTTTCATTAATAAAATACCTTGATATGTCATTTAGGTTACAATAATATATCTTTATATTCCACAATGTATTTAAGAAAGTGGCCAGGAGTCTGACTACATATTTTGCATTTACTTTGATTATCATCTGTGCGTCTGCCAAACTTCCAGAAGAACTTGTAACCAAGTCTAAGTCTGGTCACTATAACATCAGTTTGTTCTTATTGCAGGTTGCTCTGAAAACCTTATCTACGTTCATGATATACTGAGTGGTAGCTCTATTCAGGTTTCTATCTGCATTAACATAATAAACACGAAACATATACCCTAATAAAACACGATCGAAATGTAGCCGAGATCAAAATGTAGCTTAGTGGAGATGAACGAGGAGATTAAGTAATGTGAGGTTTGCCAGTTAGGCTTCCTGTGTTATGAGAGTGATCGTTGCAGCCACTCAGTTCGCTGCAGGGAGCTGCAACCACTCAGTTCGCTGCAGGGAGCTGCAACCACTCAGTTCGCTGCAGGGAGCTGCAACCACTCAGTTCGCTGCAGGGAGCTGCAACCACTCAGTTCGCTGCAGGGAGTTGCAACCACTCAGTTCTCTGCAGGGAGCTGCAACCACTCAGTTCTCTGCAGGGAGCTGCAACCACTCAGTTCTCTGCAGGGAGCTGCAACCACTCAGTTCGCTGCAGGGAGCTGCAACCACTCAGTTCTCTGCAGGGAGCTGCAACCATTCAGTTCGCTGCAGGGAGCTGCAGCCACTCAGTTCTCTGCAGGGAGCTGCAATCACTCAGTTCGCTGCAGGGAGCTGCAACCACTCAGTTCGCTGCAGGGAGCTGCAACCACTCAGTTCTCTGCAGGGAGCTGCAACCACTCAGTTCGCTGCAGGGAGCTGCAGCCACTCAGTTCGCTTCAGGGAGCTGCAACCACTCAGTTCGCTGCAGGGAGCTGCAACCACTCAGTTCGCTGCAGGGAGCTGCAACCACTCACTTCACTGCAGGAGCTGCAACCACTCAGTTCTCTGCAGGAGCTGCAACCACTCAGTTCTCTGCAGGAGCTGCAACCACTCACTTCGCTGCAGGGAGCTGCAACCACTCACTTCGCTGCAGGAGCTGCAACCACTCAGTTCTCTGCAGGGAGCTGCAACCACTCAATTCTCTGCAGGAGCTGCAACCATTCACTTCACTGCAGGAGCTGCAACCACTCAGTTCTCTGCAGGAGCTGCAACCACTCAGTTCTCTGCAGGAGCTGCAACCACTCATTTCGCTGCAGGGAGCTGCAACCACTCACTTCGCTGCAGGAGCTGCAACCACTCAGTTCTCTGCAGGGAGCTGCAACCACTCAGTTCGTTGCATGAGCTGTAACCACTCAGTTCGCTGCTTGAGCTGTAACCACTCAGTTCGCTGCTTGAGCTGTAACCACTCAGTTCGCTGCAGGGAGCTGCAACAACTCGGTTCTCTGCGGGGAGCTGCAACCACTCAACTGCAGGGGGCTGCAACCACTCAATTAACTGCAACCACTTAGTAAGCTGAGCTCTAGAGCAGGCTGACCCAGGGAATGGAATAATATTGTACCTTCAACTGAACTTAAGAATAAGGGGTGTTGGTGTTCCGTGTTCGTTCATCACGGCTAATGTCTGTAGTCATTCCATCAGGCTCGCTGAATGATCCGCTACGGCTTAGCTTTTTTTGGTAATAATAATAATATTGATCTTACTACTGATGAGTTATAATCCTTTGGGAGAGAGCACAAAGCTTATCATCCTTCATTACACTCCCTAATTATCTTTATATTTATGCGAGTTCTTTTTATGAATAGTTTTCAATTATGTGGTTTTGTTGTCAATCATCGTCACACTGTGAAAAACACTACAGGAATTACGACACAAGTTGATCAGTAATCACAAGATTGACTTACAGATAATTTCACCTTGCAAATGTATTTATGACATGTAACGGCGAAAATGATGAAGCATTTATTGATAACCAGACCATCTGCTGACTCCGTGTACTGGCTGATACCATCATCAGATACACAACTGTGTGTGTGTGGATAAGTTCCCTCCTACATTTGAGTATTTCCAACACGACCGGAGTTTTCTTACCATGGGAAGGATATGGTTTTCAGCATGACTGAAGTTGCTTACTTTTTTGCATAATTTTTTCGGCATGTGACCCGCAGCAATCGGCTGCCAGGTGCATAGGACGGGGAGGCAGGGTACAAGGAAGGGCACGGCAGGGGGCACTGGAGAGAGAGAGAGAGAGAGAAACGGGGTAGATGAAATGGACTGTGGAGAGAAAGGTAATACAGAGGAAGGACAATGTAACATGGAAGAGTGACCGAAGAACTGACTAAATTGTAATAGAACTCCAGCTAATCGTATTGACCTGTATTAACTTACTCTTTGGTTGATCCTTGTAGGCAGAGGTATGTACCGCAGCTGCTGCAGTTGTTAGGAGATGCACGTCTCGTCTGAATTACCCGACGTCCGTGCCGGCATACGTGGACCTATTGCTAATTTCTTTACCTCTTCTTGTCGCCGCCACGACGCACGGGACTCAGACGCTTTCAGCCGACGTGCCCAAAATGCCGCACCAGGTAGCAAATGATACAGTCGTCCTGATGCTCTATAAACAGTATTCAAATTACGAGCTTGATTAAGAGATGAATTTCTCGATGTTGATTAGCCGGGAGCTTAGTGACGATTGCGAGTTTTTGACGTTCATTGGACGAAAGTTGGATGACGAAAGGGATTTTCTTGACGGTGGTTGGCCGCGAGAGTGTGTAAAACAACGGCAAGAATCTCATTGGTTTAGTACATCTGTGACGTCGTCCCCCGGTCCAAGAAATTCATCTGCTCCAATAATTTACCCACACGACTGGAACACTCTTTGTTTATACTTTAAAGAATCTACCGAAGCACTGACCTTTTAAAACGATTTCTACACAAATGCCTTATCTCATAATAAGAGCATACATTCGCCCATGAAATGAAGGTTGCAATAAATGAATGTACAATCTAATAAACTGGCAACTTGTTGGTAGCGGCGAGAGGTTGAGGTGAGGTTGAGGGAGACGCG